CTGTGACCTTATCCCTTGTCAGCTCTACTATACCCCTGGGAATTCTTACAGAACATACAAATACACTTGTAGAACCATTGTCTGCCAACCCTATACATGGTCTTGGGTACACTCCCTGCTGCATAGACATACCTAATAGTTCAGCCTGCCCACCCATCTATCCACCATATATCAATGTTTGTCTTCACTGACAATGCAGTACTGTAGGTCATCTGATTTCTTGACTGCTGCTTCCATTGGAGTTGATTGTGGAACCAAATAATATGAAATCTTTGACAACTTCAATCTTTTCTCTATTTATCATGGTACTGCTTATTGGTCTATTTGTGAATATTTTCGTTTTCTTTATATTAACATGTATGTAATCCATACTGCAGACTGTAGTCTTTAATCTTCATCAGTATTCAATCTGTATGCTGAATAAATAATCCGAGAAGCTGAACTATATGAAGAAGAATGCAGTATCAGGATTGGAGGAAGGCTCATTAACAACCTATGAAATGCAGATAACACAACCTTGCTTGAAGCACTTACTGATGAAGATCAAAGATGATAGCTTCATATGGATTGCAGCTCAACGTAAAGAAAAAAAAAAAATCCTCCCAACTGGACCAATAAGCAGCATCATGATCAATGGAGAAAATTAGTCTATTTCAGGATACATCTGTGTATCTAATTTCCTATATTAAATATTTTGTTTTAAAATACTGGGTGTGATTTCTGTTTCTTGACTGGATCTTAACTAATGTACCAGCTGTACAGTCCTTTCCTGACTTTGTCAATCTTGGGCACTTTAGTAACTTGGGTACTTTTAGTAGAGCTGACAAGGGATAAGATTGTAGTCACTTCTTGGTCACAGCCAGCTACCCAGAGGGACCGAGTAGTTGAACGTGTGGGCTCAGGACCGCAGTCGCAGGGGACATCAACCTCAATTGACATAACATACTACACAAAACATTGTTCCACCTCCTACTTTGGTGAGTAGCGACTGGGATCTTAAAAGCTTGCAAGCAGCCATCTAGATGCAACAATGAGTCTCTAATTTCTGAAGTAAATGAAGTAAATTAAATTACAATTTAAAAAATTACTTCAGGACAGCATGCTGGACAGAATGAAAGGGAGATAACTGAGGCAAACAATAACTGACTTGGTATATAGGTGCAATGATTCTTGTTTGTGATTAAAGTACAAACATCTACATAGATTCTTATGTTTCTTGTAGGATATATTGTTGTTGTTTGCCGTCGAGTCGGCCCCGACTCATAGCGACCCCTCCTTGGGTTTCCGAGGCAGTATCACCACGGAAGTAGGATTGCCCAACCTTCCTTCCGAGGAGGTAGGATATATAATAGCGGAGGAATATGAGGTTGACACAGTAGTTAAATAGTGTGGAGTTTTCTTAAGTGTCTGTATTTCCTCAGCTTTTCTTTTATACTACTCTCTTTGGCACTTGGTATTCCACTACTGGAGATATTTCATAACATTCAGACATAATATTACAGGATTCATTTAAGACAATTTTTTTTTTTGAGTAACCACTATGTACTAGCACTGTTCGAAGTACTGGGGCACAGCAGTGAACAGACCCCAGACTTTGACAATCTAAGAAGGAGAGGCAGACAGTAAACAGATTTATATAACTTAAAATTTTTTTTTTGTTCAACCTTGAAAATTCTGTAAATGAAATACTTTCATTCATCCCATCATTTTGTCACTCACTCACACTGACTCATGTTCACTTTAATCAAATCCTATTTGGTTAAAAAGGCAATAATTGTGATAGCTCTCATCCTTGGTGTTTTAGGGTGCCAGAAAGTATTAAAAGGTGAATACAACATCCTTGGAAAAATTTTGGCAGTGTGAATTATTTATAGAAAACAAACGTTTTGTGTGTTTACTGATGATTAAAAATAAAAACCAAAAACTAAACTCATGGCCACTGAGTCAATTAGAACTCATAGTGACCCTTGTTGGATTTCCAAGGCTGTAAACTTTATGGAAGCGGATTGCCCATCTTCCTTCTGTGGAGTGGCTGGTGGCTTTGAACCACTGACCTTCTGATTAGCAGCCAGATGCCTTATCCACTGTGCCACCAGTGCTCATAAAACCATTTGTACACTGCTCTAAAACTCACTCAATTTATTTCTTCAAAATATTGTTTTGTTCGAAAAAAATGAGATTTATGAATAATCACTTATATATTGTTAATGTTTTGAAAGAGTTTAATCATTTTCTTATAAATAGAATCAGGTCATAGATAGGGGTATTCCTTTATGGGTATTTAGTGACATGTTGGAAACTTGTCTCTGTTTTTGGGAATATTATCTACACAATCAGGGCTGGTCCCTAAAATTGAAGCCTTATTTTCCCCAGGCTGTGCTGGAGAAATATGGTCACATCCTTGTCAATATAGCTCTTTTTCCTTTCTTTGTTATTATTTGGCCCCCCCAGTTTTCTGCTAAATTAGCTTTATTTCATGTTATAATTAATTAAATCAGACCATGTCATGTCTTTATTACTTTAACATGCAATAAATCTATTGATGAGTGTCATTCTGTATGTTAGGAAGAGTTTTATGATCTTTAGAGATAATGTAGTTTAATCAGCTAGGCAATAAGAACAAAAATATCTTCCTGAGTCAGTTCCTTTAAATATTTTAATGGACAAGTAAACAATCTCCAGTCTGATAATTAAAAAAAAAAAACCCCACAAAAAACAAAACAACACACAAAACAAAACAACACAAAAAACCTTGTTGATTCCACCTCATGGCAAGGCCATCTGTGTCAGAGCATGGTTTGCAATGGCTGATTTTTTGGGAGTAGATCACCAGGCCTTTCCTCTAAGGTGTTTCTGGGTGGACTTGAAT